AATTAAATGTTAAAAATCATTAAATCAATGGTTTTGAAGCTACTAAGCTGCACAATTGGCATGCTCTTCTTCAGGAACAAACCATAGGGTGGAAAGCCATGGCTTTGGCCTGCCCCTCAAGACATCACATGTCTCCGCCACCCCAGTAAAAATTCAGATTGCTTTTGTGAAACAAAGGAAACAGAGTGGTGAGGAGACCTAGGAGTTGAATCCTAGCCCCCAGACTTAACAGCTGAGTGACCTTGGGTCACCTCATTTCTTTAGGCCTCAGTTTCATCATCTGCAAATTGGAGTTGACACTTGTACTGCACATATAATCTCAAGGTTATTGAGGGGAAAGTACTTTGGTAAATTTTATCAAGAGTTACGGAAACGGTAGCTACAGCAAGTATTTTTCCACAGAAACAATATTATAAAGGATCAATCCCGAGGTGGAGGTGGGGGCGGGGGGGGCAGGTGTTTGCGTGTGTGATAACGCTTTCAGTATCAGTTAAGTTACATTATATATTAAATATTTTTTTTGTGGACTGACCTAGGAGCCTAACTGCCTTCCTTCTGACATGGCGTCTATGGGAAAATGTATCTAAGCTCTGATTTACAAATGAACTTTTGGAATATAAGCCATTCATAAATTAAGACTACTATAAATATATCGTGATAAGTAAACAGGTACCACAGAACTTCAAAATGGCCATGATTTACTCAGTGTTGCACACCCTCCATAACAGAGCCTGCCTCTTCAATCAATAAAAAAAACTTTTATTAAACACCTACTCTGTGCCAGGTACCAGGCTATGCTCTTAACTTGTAGAGAATGTCTCCATGAGCTGGGGTGACAAAGTTTATGACACCAGCCAACCTTCTGTTGATGAAACGACCTTTCCACATTCACTTGGATTAAGTGTCCAAGGAATAACCCATCACTGGATTGTCTTTAAGCTTTTTGAGCACGGTACAACCTGCTCAGTGTTTGTGCTCCACTTGCAAGAAACTGCAAAAATCCCAGGCCACCATTAGACCAAGAGAATACCAGAAATACCCTTTAAAAGAACAAATGTCGAATCTTTTTTTAAAAATCTTATTGCCATATTTCATTTTTATAGAATTTTTATTTCCCAAACTATTCTTTCCCTCCTTCACCCAAAGGTATCCCTTACAACAAAGAAGAGTTAAAAAGGGGAAAAATGTTCAGCAAAACTAGAGAACATATCAACCCAATCTGACAGTGTATGTGTACAGTGTCTGACATCCACAGCTGTCCTCCTCTGCAAAGAAAAGGAGATGCATTCCACATCTCATCTTCAGGGCCAACCCTGGTGATTTTAACTGCACAGTACTGAGGTTTTCTTTTTGGTTCATTCCATGTGCATTGCTGCAGTCATTATGTATCAGGTACTGGTTTTGATTACTTCACTTTGCAACAGTTCATTTATCTTCTCATGCACCTCTGTAGTATTCAGTCATCCTTTTTTTTTTAAAGGCACAACACTAGTCCATGACATTCATGTACTACCATTTGGTTAGATATGCCCCAACTAATGGGCATCTACTGTTTCCAATTCTTTGCTACTACAAAAAAAAAAATGCTACGATAAATACATTGGCATATATGGGTCCTCTCTATCTTTGATCTCCTTGGAATATATGCCTAAAAGTGAGATCTCTGATCAAAAGGTATGTTCTATTTCCTTCACCTTCTTAGTATAATTCCAAACTGCTTTCCAGTATGGTTGGACCAGTATTAGTGTGGCTATCATTCCACAACCCCTCCAATACTGACCACTCCCTATCTTTTATCATCTTCGCCAGTCCACTGGGTGTGAGGAGAAACCTCAAAATGCACAGTGTTAGTATTAAAGGATAGATCCCATGGAATTTTTCCTTGAATGCCCTTAACCTTCTGGACTAACTTTCCTTTCCCCTCTTCACCAATTTTATTAGCATGTCCATTTCACTTCAATTGTTTTCCTCATAGAACAGTGCTTGGCCTGTCACAGCTCTGATACCATTTATTGCTTTTGCACTCTTTATCCTATTTTCCTGGGTTCTTTTCCCCTGAAGACCACCAACACTGGAATTTAAAAGGTTGAAAGTATAAGGCAGTAGGGAAAAAAGGCATGGTGAAATGGATGGCAATGTCTACTGATAGGAAAGATGAATAGAGGCAACCGCGTTGCAAAAATCTGAGAAATTTTTCTATCTATGTCCAAGTACACCACTGTCAATAACAGACAAGCCACAGATGCTGCTGCCCATCCATGATATTAATGAACCAGCAAAGAGCTTCCATTTTCTAACTCCAAGTTTTGTAAGGGAATCCGACTGGCATATTATGGTCACTTTTCATCTCATTTACCTTTCCTGTGGTTCCAGAACAGATGTCCTAAGAACAATGATCTGAGAGAAGACTAATGCAACAGAAGCTTGTTCTCCCCTGAACGCTGGGAAATGAAATCCCAGTGCCTGCTGAATGAGGTCAGAGACACTCGAAATCTGTTCAGACCTCAAGCTCCCAGGTTAAAAAGTGGAAACGACCTGGTTCAATCCCCCCTCCCCCCCCTTTTTTTTTTAAACAGAGAAGGAAAGTGGTGCCTACTTGCCCAAGCTCCTACAGAGCTGACGTTGCTGGGCCCAGGTCCTCAGATTCCAGCTCAGCTCTTGTTCCCCTGCAAACAGATGTCTCAATAACTGGCTTCTCACCTTGGAATGCTTGGCAAGATTCCTCAGAACTCAAGGCAGTCGTGGCATGAAAGTCCAAGCTAGGTATTGGCCGGCCCTGACCCAACACTGCACCACCTAAGGGACCTGGAGCCCATCTGCCCCTCTCTGAACCCATTTTTCTCAGCTGTAAAATGGAAATAAGAGCACAGGATTTATAGCATGTTACAGCATGAAGGAACCTTAGAGATCATCTAGCCCAGGAGTGTGCTAGTAGATGTTTAACAACCAGCTCTTGAACTGTGGTGAATATAGACATGGTGAATACAGACATGACAGACTTAAGTTTAGTCTGTATTTTCTCTATCACTTTCTTTAGTCTAGAGACAGAGGTTCCCAAACTTAGTTGGCCTACCATCCCCCCCTTTAAAAAAAATTACTCAGTGCCTCATTGGAAATCTACTTTCTTTAGCGGCTTTTTTTTTAATTTGTGTTATTTCAAACTACTACCACCCTCCTAGATTGTTCCAGTGCTCCCCAGGAGCAGTATCGCCCACTTTCTGAACCTATGAACTCTAGACCAAACCTGCACAACCTCTGGCCTGACAAAAGATTTCCTCTACATACAAAGGATGTAAATAATCAACAAAAACAATAAATTAAGCTGTGATTGGTAGGATTTGCTGATTTCCAAGGCCTGCAATGAAAATTTAACAGTCAGCTCTCCTGAGCCAGGTAATCTTGCTCCAATACACCCCTAATGTAGCTCAACCTCCTCATTTTACAAAGAAGGAAAGTGAAGTGTGAAAGCAATCTGTCCTTCATCATACAGCAGGTAAACAGCAGGGCTGAATTCAAACCCAGGACCTCTGACCAAAATCCAGTGCTCCATTCACCACACGACACTGCCTACCTACCTCACAGAATGTCACAACCTTGTGTAAGTGGATCAGTGCTTGTGTCTTCTGTCGTGAATATGCTGGGAGAATCCTAGATTCACTTTCACGGGGCTGTCCAAAGTGAAGTCTTCATAAAACTGTCCAAATAAACACTTCATCATCACCCTACCTCCTCTCAACCCAACCCTCTTCCCTTCCTTTCAACTTTAGGGTTCTATTAAGTACATCTTTCTGTGGGAAGTTGGTAGTTTATGACTTTTATAAACAGTATTGTCAGATTAACTAAACAATTTCTCTCAGTCATCTAGACCACCATGGCAACCCAGGGAGCCACACTTGGCCTTTAGAAGACCCAAGATATTAACCATGTAGTCTTATGCCTTTCAAAATAAATCAGGAAAACTCGTATCTCTAGAAATTCAATTCAATCCTCCAATGCTAATGGGAAAAAAATACCAAAAGAGAAAAACTTTCAAATTGTCTAAAAAAACCCAAAAAATCTTTAATGCTATTTGGAAATTCAGTTCTAAATGCAAAAACAGACTATAATTTGAATGACTTTCAAGTTTGATAAATGCATAAAATAAAGATTAAACTGGCAGAAAAGGGGAAGATTATGGCTTTCGGGGAATACCCAGTAACACAAGGTCACCTCTAAGTAATTCCCTAATGATAAATCATTTATTTTAATGAGTCCTTGGTATCATTTTCTGAAGTAAGCATTCTAGAGAGGCAATATGGAAAAGTGAAACTATCACTAGATTTGACATCAAGAGACATGGGTTTGAATTCTGACCCCCAGTGCTCACTAGCTGACCGACCACAGGGAAATGCAGCATCTTGGAGCCCAAGTCTCTCTTCTGCCTAATGGGGATAACACCTGCCTAATGGATATTACTTCGTATTTGTATTTTGTATTCTCATTTTTAATCATTGTTCACACTTAGGTGATTATAGGAACTTACATATTAGTGATGCCATGCATCATTTTAGTACTTTTCTACTGTAAAGGAAAGAACAGAATTGCTTGTTTTCAGTCTCAGAACCTATGAAAACTAAGAGCTTGCCCTTTTCTAAGACAGCTATGAAGCAGGAGATGCTGTTGGCTTTAGGGGCATTGGCAGAAACCATGCTCACACCTCTAATGCGCTTAGTAACTTATGTCTACTTAATCAAAATAGATGTATTAGCTGCTAGTGGAGCTAATGTAGAACTAACTAGAGAAATATAGTGATTGGAATTATTTAATCAATAAGAGCAAATCTGATCATGTAAACATTTATATTCTGGGGAAAAAAATCTTCTAAATACAGACTAAGTATATGGTTGCAAATTTAAGGGCTGAAATCACAGGACACATAGTGATAAGCTCTGAATATATAACAAGAAACCAACTCAACAAATATTACCATTAGAAAATTAGAACACAACTTATCCAGATGCTTATCAGTTTTTCATAAGACGTCAAAGTAGTTTATTTTGGGTAATGTTCAATGTTGACATTTTGTTACAGTTGCATGGAAATTGGTTTTACCTTTGCCTACAATTATAAACAATGTGAAACTAAGCACAATAATAAAAACTATTAAGAATATACAAGTGTAAGTAATTCTTTTGGGACCATCAGAGTCAAAATAAATTAAGCTACTTAATTCTACAGAAAAACAATTTCCTGGTATATTAATTCTATAAAAATGACTTTGCTCACACATTCAAATACAAATGTCTTAAGTCACAATGTCAATATCTAGGAAATAAAAAGAAAATTAAAACAAATGAAGTTAGCAATACCATTATAGTAGTGACCAAAAGTCATTTAATATAGAGTGAAAATAACACTTCAGTGGGTCAGAAGGGTTACTTACCTGCAACGGCATTCTCTGAAGAGGCATCCTTAAACTGGCCATTACTTCAGGGTGCTTTCCTGCCCTCTGCAGGACAGCTAGAGTGTTTAGGACTCTTAGGACAAAGATTCTTAATAAGCTACTTAAGGAGCCATTTGATGCTGCTTCTTTTTTGTGAAGTCAGGGAAGAGAAGTAAAGAGGAAAGGAAAGGAAGAACTGTATTTCCTTAGAAGTAATTAACCTGATCTCCCTTAGCTATGGTATTCTGCACCTATCAGGGGCACATCTTTTTAGAGTCCTGTTATTAAGAACATACAACTCCTTTTCAAAGATGCAGTCGTGGGTCACCAGAATTTTTTTCTGTAAACAAAGAAGGCTACAGGCTACCTTCCTTTCTTAGAGGATAGGTCCGTTGTCTTCCTGTGGCATATATCTATGGCATTACAGAGACTTATCCTCCTTAAAAGACTTATCAGACCTAATGACCACTACCCACTTGCGATGCATGTGGAAGATAATGATACTGTTGGAAGAAATTTAAGAAGCACTGCTAAGGATTTTGAAGTCTTGGGCAAGAAACTGAGGACCTAGGGAGAGAAGGGGAGAGTGAGAGAAAAGAAGATGGGGGGAGAAGGAGATGGGGGAAGAGGGGGAGGGGGGGGGAGATCACCAAGAAATACCATAAAGAACAACTGTGATCAACAAAAAGAAAAATAACAATTGCTCAGTGAATTACAGGAGACAAAATCCATGAAATAAATCAGTAGTAAAATATATGTATGCATAAAATACAGACAACAAAGTGAGCAATGGATCTTAACAGAAGGCAGAACTGATTTCATGGGTCACTAAGATGGGGCCCATGACTAGCATACAGCTCTAGAAGTATATAATTCATTTAAAAAGAACTAAGTAGACAAAAGAGGTGGTGAAATACCATAAAAAGGACACATGAAGAGATATAAGAGCCAGAAAACAGGAATAAGGAGTAGAAAACATTTGAGTGAATTATCAATTGATTAAAAAAAAATACAACTGATATTGTTATCGGAATATACTACAGACCACTAAGTCAAGAAAGGGAAACAGATGAGGATTTTGGGAAACAGATTACAAGCTTGGCATGGTAATAGAACATAGTAGTGAGGAGAGCCCTTTAATTATCTGGACATGTGATAGAACTCGCCTTCTCTCTACCAAAAGCAGAGCAGTTAATTTCTTGGCTTCCTTTCACAGTATTTTCATCCTTTAAAAGGCACAGGACACAATGAAGGGAAATGCTACTCTGAACCTGATTCTCACTAACCATGAGGAACTCGTTGCTGAAGTAGAGATAATGGGAGCCTTGGGGGAAAGTGGTCACTCCACATCATTAGTTTACAAAAGTAAAATTGGGCACAGTTTGCTATTTACCCTAGATTTTAGGAGACAATTTTCAAAGGATTCAGAGAAAGGACAGGTAGGATTCAACGACCTAAAATTCGACACAGAAATTCAGCCCTACCAAGTCCTTACCATGTGTGAAGCACTATGCCAAGCACTAGAGACACAAGGACATGCTTACTTACCCTTACACTCTAACAGAGGGAGACAACACATATAGGGGAGCAGTTCCTAAGGGTGACTGACGCGGGAAGCCATGAAGATGCTTAAGTGCAATAAAGAGGGTAGTCCGCTGATGTTCCCTTTCCAAAGACAATGGTAATATCTGACTACAATTCTCAGAGCAAAAGATGGCAAGGGAGAAGAGAGGTACCTCCATGGTGGCAGAGCAGATAAAGGGCAGGGTAAAGACAAAGATACAGGGGTGAAAGATGTAGAGCCGAGTGGTTTCTGCTCCTCCTGATCCTGGTCTCTAGTGGTCTGGATAAGGAGGGTGGTAGCAGTGGCAGTGGCAGGGCAGAATGGACATGTGGTCCAGGGCGTGCAGAACTATGTGAAAAGTCAAAATTATTTCAACTCTTTTGTTCCTGTTCTGTTCTATTTTCTGCCATGGATGGCACAAAAGCGATAATAGGGAGCTGACACCAAAGATAGTAGGGAGATAGAAAAAAGTATCTAGATGCCTGAATAAGCTCAAGACACCAGACCTAGACAAATTTTATCCCAAGGCAGTGGGAGAAACGGCAGGCATGACTGCCTCTGAAAGCCAGTGAAGAATGGAAGGAATGCAGCAGAACTCAGGAAGAGGAGCCTGGAAACCATCTTTACTCCCTATTCCTCAGGCAGCTCATCCATAGCCTCCCTAACTGCCTTTGCTACCTCAGAGAAAAAATCCACCCCAAGGCCCCAACATCTTGAACAACGACTGCTTCTTCTGGACCACAATTTCAGAAAAGCCTCAGTCATCATCCCTGACTTCACTCTGTATTCTCTGGACACTTCCTCCTGGCTGATGCACATGGACCAAGAAGTCTAGGACGGTGAAAGGCCTCAAGATCACTCTATATATATGAGAACTGGTTGAAGCAATTGGGGCTGTTCAGTTTAAAAAAAAAAAGGCTTAGGGGGATGCCAAGATCTCTGCCTTCAAGTACCTGAATAGCCGTCATGTAGAAAAAGGATTAGCCTTCTTCTAATTGGGCCCAGGAAGCAGAATCACGAACAACGTATGGAAGCTGCAAAGACATAAATTTAAATCTGATGTGACGAAAAACAGCTCAACAACTGGAGCCATCCAAAAGTGAGGCTGGATACTTCAGAACACAGCAAGTTCCCTTGTCACCAGAGGTCTTCATGCAAAGGCTGGATGACCACTTTTCAGGGATGCTATATGAGTTTCTTGTTCAAGTTGTACTAGATGACTTCTGATATTCCTTCCCAATATGAGATTCTAAGATTCTCAAGGAAAACTCAATGAAGCATCCAGAAAACAATCTATAAACAAGGAAGATGAGAAGCAATCAAGGTTTCTGGTAGAAGTTATTTATACATTCTAATTTACTAGCTGAGACTTTTACTAAGAGGGCAACTTCAGGACTAAGAAGTTTACACTGCAATGTCAGTAGATTTTGACCAGAAACATACTAATTTTGGGGCCTAACTAGTAATGAATCTTCTTCCTTCAGAGACAAGGATGTGGGTTAAAGTTAAGAGGTCAAACTACAAGAAGTCAGTTCAGGCAATACCTGGATAAGCTAAGTTAATATACAACAGCTACTTTTAAATCTGAGGTAGCAATGCCAAGTGCAGCAGCTGATTCCATAATACTATGACTGGGCCTGGCTAGCACTTTAAACCTGAAAGTTATGTTCAGTCTCTGAGTTTGACTGATGCCATTTTTCATTGTAAACAGTTCTTACCCTGGAATTCTCCTTCTTTTTGTATTGAAGTTTAGTCTAGCGTTTATCTCTTTGCATTCTACAGCAATCCAAGTAATTGTAGTGGAGAAGTTAGATGGAAGGGTTACCAGCGAGAAGAAAGCAGAGTAAAAACTTGGAGTAGAACTTTTGAAAGCTTTTCCCTGAGCAGTAGCTACACATAAAGAACTGAAACATGCCAGGGAATCGTTGCACACATATCTAAACTGGTCCTCTTGAAATGAGGACAACTAAGAGTAAACAAATGACCACAGGATATGCTGCAGTAGTAAATTTGAACAGCATCTGCCTAATAACATAATCTTTTTTAGAAATAAAGGTTTTCCTGACCCTCATCATGGGAGATCAAGAGAAAACAAACGGGCGCAATATAGGAATACCAGCTAAAAGGTCTGTGTAAAACACCAGATTCTGGCATTTGTCAATCCTTGTCAGCATTCAGCTTGACAAAGGGTTTGCAGGAGTTACATACATTCTAACTGTCTCCAATACTCACTGCCTTAGAGTCAGAAAATTTAGTTCTAGCCACTATTATATCCCTAAAGATGCGGTCTTAGGCATGTCAGAATCTTTCTAAATTAAAGGGAATGCATCTGTAAAACAGAGACAATACTACCTTCCCTGCTTCATGGCACTGATGTTAAAATCATGAATTAACATATGAAAAAGCTCTCAAAAGTAGAAAGCTCCATACAAAAGTAAGGAGGCGTTATGATTCCTTCCTCTACTAATCTGATAGATAGGGATTATATCAACATCAATTATTTACAACATTTCTATGATCTCATTCCATATCTATCATGTAAACTGTTTCAATACAAAACAGAATCACAGCCTGCTGGAAGAACATTAAAGTATTTTTTTCCTAGTCTCTTTCAGGGGTCCTGCCTTTGTAGTTTCATGTTAGAATGGTTATCCTGATTTTTTACAAATGTATGCAAACACAAATACATAGTACATAGTATATATGTGTATGTACTTGTATGTGTGTTATATTTAACATTTATAAAAAATTTTAGGATTTGCAAAGTACTTTATAAACATCATTTCTTATTTGATCCTCATAACAGACATGGGTCCTGTTACAGGTATTACTACTCCCATTTTACAGATGACAAAACTGACGCTGAAAGAAGGGAAATGACGTGCCTTGGCTCTCTGAGTGAGATTCAAACCCAGGTCTTGTGACCCTAAAGTCTAGTTTCCTGTCCACTATGCCCTGTTGACTCATGCTGTAAATGCCCGAAGTAGGAACTCCTAACATAGCATATACAGGCTTGTCATGTTAGCGGTCCTAGCTGGGGAGTGACCACAGCTCATGGAGATAATGATTCTTCCAGGCATGTTCCAGCTAAGAAGAGGGGGAGAAAACTGAGGTGGTCTGTAGATTTTGGTATTAATTTTATGATTGTTCTCTTGACATCCATTGTCGATTAACAGAAGTGTCTCACCTTCCTCAGAAGGCATGTGGGACTAATTGCTGATTCGACTCTGTGGGTACTTCTATGCTATTTTGTATTGTCAGCATCTTGTGATGTCTCACCAATTAGATGAGAGCTCCCTGAGGGCAGGGCCTCTATTCCTTTTCTTTGTGACCTCCTCCAAACCCAGCACAATAATTTGTGTGCATGGTATGTTGCCTGCCTTTTTGGTACACTAAAGAAAACTACATACTCTAATATGTGGTAAGAAAAACACCTTGGTTTAAGGGTAGGTCTGACTTATCATAAATTCTCCAAAGGGATATGGATGGAAGCTACAGTGCTTAACAGCATGAAGAGATTTAAGTATTTACATAGAACTAGGCTAAACTGTTACGAACCTCTAAAATGAGTGGTCTTAAGCTCCACAAAGCTCACCAAATTCTATAAGTGCCCAAAGAAAATGCTCCAAAAATACGTTATTATTCATATGACCAACCTGGGGAAAAAAGCCTTTGAAATAAGTTGGGCTTTATTCCAGGAGGCCCAATTCTAACTTGGGCAGAGGAAGCTAGATATGGCCTGAATGAAACATAAGGGACTTAAAGGACAACTTCTGGAATTGTGAAGCCTTGCTTCTGAGATGATTACCTTCTATGCTTTCTAGAGGTAGAATGTCAGCCTTCCACCAAGGTGATCAGCATGGTAGCATCATTCTTTTATTCACTATTTTTCAGCAGTCTTTAGGAAAACCATCAAGGTACCAAGTATGCAAACAGAAAGTGCCACAACCCAAACTGATATGACAAGCTGCATTGCTGCCAATGTCAACAGCTGTCTAAATGATGACTTCAACACACCTCCAATTTTTTCATAACAAGTTGTAACAACCCTTTTACACTTGTTAATGGGATAAAAATTAATCCCCAAATACCAGCATTTCCAAAAAAAGTTGTCTTGACAATATACCTAAAGATATTTCTTCATTATATTATTTCAAGAGTCTGAAAGTAAAATATTTTTTAAATGGCAATAAATCATTAGTGGTATATGTGATGAGAAGATAAAACGGTGATTGTGAAGGAATGATATCCAGAAACAAATCTACTTTTCATTACACTTTGCAACCCCATCCCAACCCCCACCTCCAGAATGGAGTTTGTAGACCACAAGTAGCTTTGTTTCATGAGTAATTCTTACCAGGAGGAGAAAGTGTTAACTTCTGCTCTGCTAACTGAAACACATAAATCAAACCCCTCAAAATCAATATAGGTTTTGAAAAGTACACTACATGTAGCAGTTTTCTTTCAATTCTGGCTAGAAATGAGGCAGTAAAAGCAAAGACCAACATGAGTTTTTAAAATATACTACATAACTAGCTGCCTCTTTTTTATTTTTGGCTAAAGAACTGGGCAGTAAATGAAAATTTAAGGTGTTTATAAGATATCCTGGAGGTGTTCTCAGCTAGAAAACTGCAGTAAAATTAAAAAGAAAAATAGAACAGTCTGCTGGCACAATTTTATAAACCTTCTCTATCAAAGAAAACCATCAAGAAAGAAATGGAGTAAATTAATTTCCACATCTAACAGGGAATATATGTGATTAATGCCCAAGCAGCCTCTGCAGGGTTTTAAAGTCCCAAAGGGAATGATCTCCCCCAGGTACAGATACTGTAAGGAGCACTAGATTTTCAAGGGCTGGAAAGGAACTCATTTGAAAGCTTTTAAGAAAAATATTCAGAGTTTAATATGCAACCAAGCAATTATTTAAACAGGGTATGCCTGTACTCAAAAAGGCAAACTGACTTCTTTCTGGAGAGCTTTAATTTTGCTCTTCTGATTAAAACACAATCAACTTTCAAAAATGTACCTCATCTTTGAAGTTTAGTAGAAGAGGCTGCAATAATTCAAGTAGAGCAACTGTCAATTTTGTTTGTTGCACTAACACCAAAAAGAGGGAAACCCCAAGAAGCTGATATATGAATTACTTAGAAATTACACAAAATTGTTCTAAAATGGAAATTTCTGCATTTGGCACTTTGTATGAGACATCACGCCTATGGCTTCCCCAGAGTTTTAATACAGTAGCCAGAAGCAAGAAGACTTCCGCACTCCATCTCTAGATCACTAAACAAGTAGAGGTATTTTTTTTCTCTCTCACAGATGTAATAGAATGGTAGACTGGAAGGGATCTTAAGGATAAGCTAGGAAAATTTTCTTACTGGTAGTTTTTCTCATAATTGAGGGAACTAAGGCCTAAGGGGTCTACGTGACTTGCCCACAGTCACTTACCCAGTTAGCATCAAAACCAGGGATCTGATTCCCATTCTAGGAAAACAAACAAACAAATGCACCATACAAGCTCACACACTGAAGGAGCCTACAGCACTTAGGCTTTCACACAGAAAAAAGCTGTTCTTTTTTTTTTTAAAAAAACTGTAAAGGTCCCCCTCCAAAAAGAAAAAAAAATCTACTTCTCCTTCAGTGCACGGCAATCTCTTTAGCAAAAGTCCTCAAGACCCCTGAACCACACTGTTGTAAGGAGTCTTAGCAACAGACAGCTGACTTCAACCACTACACCATGATTAAAGTTTCTGCTTCTTCTGCTCCTGGGAGAAGGCTTCCAAACATGCATCCGATCCTGGAAATTATTCCATGGTGTCTTCTCTATAAATGAAGACTACAGAAACAATGAGAGAACAACACATTAAGATAATCACTTATTCTAAAAAATAGGGTCACTTGTGTCTCCTGAAAGTTTCATGTTACCACCAAACCACTGGTTCTCCACCTGAGGTTCTAGAGCAGCTTCTTCATCCTACGATTCTGCTTGTCGATAGTCAGGGTCGTGCGTTCCACAGAGGAAGTCAGGCCATCAAGAACTTCATCCTGCCTCTCGAGTTCTGTCTCGGTTTCTAGAGCAATGCTCTTCAGTTTCTTCAAGATCTGTCAGAGAAACACAGCAGTACTCTTCAAACACCTATTCATAATCAAAGGGAGTTAAAGGAGAAGAAATCTCTTGCATCCATACATTTACACACCTGAAATGTCCCACATAGTAGAGGCTCAGTTCAGATGTCACTTTCTCCCTGAAGCCTTCTCAGATTCTTTCCCAGATATCACCTTTCTCAAATCACCCTGTATTTACATATCTCTATACATGTTGAACCCTCTAGTGGAATGTAAGCTCTTTAAGGACAGAGATTTGTTTTCCTTTTGTCCATGTATTCTAAGCACCTAGCACAGTGCTTAATTAATACACATTTGTTGAAGTGAACTGGCTACATAATAAATTAAAAAACAAATACTCTTACACAAAAGAAAACACTGGAGCTGATGTGATCGTTCAAAGAACAAAGATATATAATGGACTGGAAGGCCACAGGGCCTCATGGGAAAAAAATGCTGTGAGACTGCACCTGGAAAATTTTATTCTTCAATTCCAGGCAATACCACACCCACTACTGACAAACTAGGGTGGAGAAGTAGAGAAAGCAACAGAAATAATCCAAGGGTTGGTGGGATTGAAGACAGACGAAAAGAACTAAATCTATCTTGGCTGACATTGGAAAGGAGATGAAATCATAATGTCGCATACACTAAAACCTGTTCAGTTAAAGATAAACATTAAACAGTGGTACTGACTAAAGAAAAATTGAGTTTTAAAAACAGTGAGGTTTACTGACCTATGGAATAAATATGCTCAAACTAAAACGATATTACTGAAGATATTTAAAATCACAATGACCAAATCAGAAAAGAAGTTAGGTAGCATAATGAAGAGGACAGAACTGGCCAGTGTGACCTCATCAAGAAACTGAAATCTTTCTATAGTTTTTCTGACTTCATGCCATGTTCTTCAGATTTTTCATAAACTAATGAGGGCAAAAATTTTATTGCAATTCCACTCAGCTTAATCATGTTGTTAACTACTGTTTCAATTAGATAAACATTTCCAGGGTCTGAGCACAATTTCTGAATCCATTCAACCTGACACCAAAAGAAGGATGCATTTTAAAAGAAATATCGATGACAGACCACTGATTTTCAACGGCTTTAGGAAAATCTACAAATCATTTATTGGGTCAACAAAAAGGAACTGCAGAATCTGAATTGGTAAATGGGGACATCCAGTATTACATCTACTTTCTCCCACTGGATCAATATCTCTACAGATACTCTCCAAATATTTTGTTACTATGGTCATTAACAACAATATTTGTGTTTTTAAGGTGAAAAAACAGTATGCAATTCCTTCTCAGAAATAACTGCTCCCATTTGGCTCTCTCATTTACTGTAAATGTATCATTAACACAGAAAACAGCACACAGGTTGGAGTCTGATGGCCAAAGCAGGAACGATGGTCTTTAAATGGGCGAAAGCCTGGTCTTTTATAAATGTCATTTGATTAACCTTCCTAAAACAAGGTTGAAAAATATGGCTGGTACAACCTCAAAAGCAGACTTTATGTGATCTAGAATTAAAGCATTCTCATACATTGTTCATCATCAGGCAAAAGAATAAATCACTGACAAAAGTTAGCAATCTCAGAAAACAACACTTTTGTACCATTAGGGAACCCAATGCTGGTGGAAGCTCCATCAGTTGAGTCACTTAAAAAACTGGACAGAGCCCTGGAAAATATACTGTAGGGAACAATCCGGCTTTGGCAGAGGGGGATGGACTACATGACCTAATACAGTAGGTCTTTTCCATCTCTTATTTCTATGATCTCATATGGCTAATGCCCAAACAGCATAATAATAATTTTTTAAAAATTCTAATTCACCACTATGGCATATAGGTTCCTACATACCATTTTTTCATACAGATAACCATCAACTCTTACTCTCCCTCTCATTTATCAACTTTTCCTTTGCCATTACGATCAAATGAAGGCCCATTCACACTGAATTTGACATGGAGGATAGATTGGTAGGGAGAAACTTGAGTAAGGCTATTACAATAGTCTAGATGTGAGGAAATGACGGCCTGCACTAGGGTGGTGGCAGTGTCACCTAAAAAGAATAAGCATCGGGGAAGCTAGGTGGCACAGTGGATAGAGCACCAGCCCTGAAGTCAGGAGGACCCGAGTTCAAATCCGGCCTCAGACCAAACACTTGACACTTACTAGCTATGTGACCCTGGGCAAGTCACTTAACCCCAATTACCTTTAAAAAAAAAAAAGAATAAGCAACTTCCTGAAGGCCATCTAACAATAATAACCAGTAGAGGCAGAATCTGAACCCAGGTCCTCTCATGCCAGAGCCAGAGCTCTTTCCCCATACCACTGTTTGCCCACTATCTTTGAGGAGGCAACAAAGCTAGCAGCAGAAGTATCTGATCGCCAGCAAAGACTCCTAGTTGCCTCTAAACCCAGCCCCTGGTATCAAAAGCCATGCTCACGTCATGAACTCCAGCTCAGAAGTATCCTCAGTCAGGACATGACCCTGATCAACTGGTCCTTCTTACCCATGGCTGCCAAACTCCTACATTTATTACCCTAATCCACAGAATGCAGAGCAACCATCTGCCAAGGAAGCAAGCCTTTTTCCTCATTACCTTTGCTCTCACTTTTGTCCCTATTCACCTTAGCTCTCCCCTCCACAGCTCTTTTCTTCCTTTGGAACCCCTGATCTACCATGAACAAACCACCCTTCACCCAAGATCTCTCTACCTCATCCTTTCTGTCTCCTGGTGCTCAAGAAAAGTTGTTTCTCTCCAGAAGCAACACAATTCCTAGCCAGGCTCTCCAGTGTAGATTTTTCTTTTATTTCATGCCTCCTCTTTGCCCCAGTAGAAAGGGAGCTTCCTGAGAGCTAAGAATATTTCATTTCTAACTTTGGATTCTAAGTATCTAGCACAGTGTCTTAAATGGAGTTAATAATGTTTGCTGAAGTGAACTGAAAGTATCATTACAAGTCAAGATGTCTTTATTAATTACTTATTATGTGTCAGGCACTGTGCAAAGTGCTGGGGATACAAATACAAGCAAAAAAGCAGTTCCTGCCCTCAAGAAGTTTACATTTTAATGGGAGAAGACAACATATAAAAGGGAGCTGAAGGGGGTTGGGATGAAGACTAGGAGTCAAGGTAGCAAAGTTCTTAGAACAAAGGATGGCTCCAATGAGAGAAAGGGAGGAGGGAAGGGAGAAAGCAGCTGAAGAATGGAGGCAATGTCTGGAGAGCACAAAGTACAAAATGTTCATATTAAACTACTCAAGAAAGAACTCTCCATTTGATAAGAACTTTTGAGAAAACTTAAAAGCAATATGGCAGATATTAGAGTTAGATCAACATTTTCCACCACATTCCAAATAAAGTGAAAGAGGATACATATGACCTGAATATTAAAAATCATACTAGAGTGTATATCTTTCGTGGCTATGCGTAAAGGATAAATTTTCAAACAAATAAAGGATAGAGGCAACTATAAAAAACAAAATAGATAATTTTGATTACATGAAATTGAAAAGCTTTGAACAAACAAAATTAAGACAATAATAAGGAACAACTGACTGGAGAAAATTTTTGTATCAAATATCTTTGATAAGAGTTTGATATTCAAAATATATAGACAATAGAAATGTACAAGACCAAAAGCCATTCTCCCAAGAGAGAGGGGGTCAAAAGACATGAACAGTTTTCAAAAGAACTGCAAAACAAACTATTAACAACTATATGAAAGATGCTCCAAATCATCAATAAGACAAATACAACTCAAAACGACCCTGAAGCTTCACAAAGCACTTAGCAAATTGGTAAAGATGATGAAACAACGGAATAGTCAATGGTAGAAGAGTTATATTAAGACAGACACAATGCTGGTGGAGCTATGAATTATATAACCATTCAGAAAAGTAATTTGGAACTATTCAAATAAAGTGACTGAAATGTTCACATTCTCTGACACAAATATTCCATTGCCAGACATTTATATATAAAGAAAGTGAATGAAAAAAAGGAAGTCTCAAAATATTAAAAGGAGCACTTTGTAACTGTAAAGACCTAGAAACAAACTAGATGCCCACCAACTGAGGAATGACTAAAAAAATTGTGGTATATAAATATAATGGAGTATTATTATTATGCTGTAGAAAACAGCAAACACAATAAATACAGAGCATGGAAAGACTTACATGAAATGTTGCAAAGTGAAGTTAAGCAGAGCCAGGAAAACAATATACATGACTACAGCTATATAAATGAGGGGAAAAAACCCAACAGCCACAAAGCAATCAAAACTGAATATTGCAAAGTTATAAAGAACAAGCTTGGCCCCAAAGAAAAGATTTGAGAATACACATACACCTTCCCCTGCCCACCTTTGCAGAGATGGGGCTCCAAGGATGTAGACCATTACATATAATGTCAGATTTTTTTTTCCAATATATCGATTGGTTTTGCTGAAATTTTTTCTCTTCTTCTTAAATTTTTTTCCCTAAAAGATGGCTCTATATCGGGGAAGAGGGTTACAGGGATGTAGACAAAGTAAAACAAAATGTTTACATGAATACTATTGTAAGATTCTGTACTTCAAGAGAGTTTGGGCACTTGTCACCTGAGGACTGCTCTCAATAATTCCATATGTTTCTGTATAACTCCATACAGTGGCAGATGGGTAAATTAACTGACTCATTTGTAAGTTAAGTGACTCTTTCACAGACAACTTAAAAAAATGGCAGAGGTAAAAACAGACAAATTCTCAGGGCTTTGCTTTATTTCTTAACATATAATATACTACTTAGGAGAGTATTCACACTGCTTTATGGCTAAGATGCGGTTGGTTAATACACAAAATCTGAATTCTAAAATCAACCCTGGATATTCCAAATAAGTTAAAATCTTGTTCAAAAGAAAAGCACTCAATAAGATAAAGAGAAGCAGCATATAATAGTTGATAGTCAGCCCTGGGTTCAAGTCCACCTCTGATGCTGGCTGTGCAT